CACTCACTTGCTCAACTTCAGACATAACCACTCTCCTCCATGCCCTGGTGTCAAGCTGCCTTCCACCTTAGGACCTTTGCACTTGCCGTTACCTTTTCCTCACTTCTTCGTGACTGACTCATTCAGGCCTCAGCATTCAAAGGCCACCTCGTCAGTGAAACTTCTCCTGTCCACCACCCTCAAAGATCAGTCTGTTTCATTTTCTTCAGGACACCCACTCTAAAACATTCTTGTTTTGTTAGTTTGTTTACTTGTTTACTGTCTGTCTCCCTACTAGACCATAATGCCCTCAAGGGCAGCCACCTCCGCCTCATTCATAGCTGTTCCCTCGGGGCCATGAATGAGCGCCTGGCACGTACAAGGTGCTCCGAAGTCCTGGATAAATGAATAAGCAACTATGTTATTCTAGTCACTTCACTAGAAGCCCTGAAGTTTGGGGGGGGCCGGTGGTGTGGGCAGAGGTGGCCCACACCTCTGAGAGAGGTGAGGCTCTAGAGAGCAAGGGCTCTTCTCTGTGCCCCCTCCCCCAGAGGTGGCCCTGCCGCACAGAGCCCAGGAAGTCCCAGCGATTGGGGCAGAACACAGCCAATCTGCAACCCACCCAACAGGGAGCACATTCTGTGTTATACCCCCTGCTACTCCCTCATGTAAAAATGCCAGGATAGGTGAGTGACAGCAGACCCCAACCCCGCAGTTGTGGGGCGACTGATACACCCTGGCCCGGCTCCAAGGTACACTGACCCCATGTCTCTAGGTATGGATGACCCAGCACCCACTGCCCCTTCCCCGAGCAACAGGATCCATCTCTTCCTCTTGGGGATTTGCCCTCCCCCATTTTCAGGTCACACGGTCCAGGTGGGCTGACCCTACCTCCGCAGGGGTTGAGGACACTAACTCAACCCTGGCTGGCTGTTTTATCTCTCTAGGCACTGAGGCTGCAAGTCAAAATGGGCAGGCGCCCATTTTGTGTGGCTCAGAATGAAAACAGAGGCAGACCCCTGGGGCCGGGCCCCACGTTCCAGGCTGGGCCTCTTCGGTGATCTGAGCCAAATATCCCCTTTCCTTCTTCAGCCACCTGGCATGGTGTTTGGTCCCACCGCCACCCCTGCTAGCCCATCTTGCGCACTCTTCCACTGCTGGCCCCCGACCCCCCATTCCCAAGCCCACCGCACTCTCTTACATTACGCTCCAGGCCTGGAACAGCTTTCTCCCCTTCATATATCTGGTAAACTCCTACTTGTCCCCACTCAGGCGAGATTCCACCTCCTCCGGGAAGCCTTCTCTGATTCCCTCAGACGCAGTTCACCTGTCTTCTCTCACACTCCTACCACATCCAGTGGGTTTCTCTGAGAAACCTGTACTCACTAGGTCCTGCCCACCTAAAAGATTTAGTTAAGCTTTATTTGCCACAGTCATATTATGAAAATAGGGATTTTTTTTCCCTCTTCAAATACAAGATGATGTTTTAATGGTTAATGTAAATTTTCAATCAATGCCTACCCCTACCCCAGACATTCTGAATTAGTCCCCTGGAGAGAGGTCTTCCCTACCCTTGATTGAAAAGTTGCAGCAAAACATCCCTCATTGATTCAGTAAACATCCACGTGTCCCCCTTGGTGGAAAGCATTGTGCTGAGAGCTGGACACACAAATTATAGAAGTGTGTTATAATCGTCCTTTTCTCTGTATGAGCTGGGAAAATGCAGGGAAGGTTCCTGCCAAATGGTTGAATTGACATTACTTTGGAAGCTGGCATTTGAGGGACAGACGGGGGACTTTCCCTTAGCACTTCATGTAATTTAAAAATGATAGGGCTAAGGGTGTTTTTTACTTTCTTAGTGTTGTTCAAGTAAAACATTTCTTAGTGGTTCGCTGGTGTGTCTGTTTCCCTAGAAGACTGTGAGTCCTGAGGGGGCAAGGAAGGATCTGAGTCATTCCTAAGCCTTTAGCTTCCCGCCAGGGCCTGACACACGGAAGGCCGGGAAATGTCTGTGAAATGACCACAGGACAGAGCGGAACGGGCACAGGAAGCAGAACGGGCAGGCATGGGACACAGGCTGAGGAAGAGCGGTCAAGCCCAGCGGCGAGACAACTGGGCTACAGGGGGCAGCTAGGGGGGGGGGGACTGTGGTACCCACTGCAGCTGGTTGGCACAGTGCCTGGAGCCCTTGGTGGTACAGGATAAACATTTGTCTGTTAGGGAAATGAGGTCACAGGGTGACAGAACTCTCAGGAAAGAAACTTGGCTCAGTTTCCTAGTTGCAGAAGGCAGAACCCAGCAGATCGGGGCTGGGGAGGGAGGAGCGAGAGGAAGGGGTTGGAGGAGGCCTTGAGAATCAGAGTCTAGGCAGGACAGCAGGTGGCAGGGAGCTTGGAGGAGGTGGTTTTAGGAGTGTATGCACGGAAGGAATGCCTGCCGCTCCCAAGGGAGGATGCCTGGCTGACCTGCACAAAGCTGCTCCATCCCTCTTCCCCCACTGGAGTCTTTGTCCCTTCCACAGATGCTTCCTCCAGCATATTCAGACCCAGCACTGCTGATTAGGGCCAGAAGCAAAGGAAAGGGGCTGGGAGCCTCCGGAGAAGGCAGGAGGCAGGAAATCAAAGCAGGTGGAGGGAATGAAATCTTGGAAGACTTCCTGGAGGTGTGGACTCCCAAGCTGAGGTTTAAAGGCTGAAGAGAAGGTAAAGGGAGGGAGCCGACTTCCAGGCAGACAGGAGAACGGGAGAACGGGAGCCAGGGCACAGACACTTAAGACCTGGGGGAGGGAGGAGCCCTGAGTATTGGGGATGCTCTGTGAAGAGCTGAGTGTGCTAAAAGGAAACAACCCCGCCCCCACCAGCTGCTTAGATCTCTAGTGTGGGGAGGGGGAGGTGGGAAGGATGGCTACAGGCAGCAGCCCCAGATCATGTGATTTGAGCCCTGGACTCCCAGGCTGCTCTGCCCCTTGGGGTGCCCTTGCCCAGGATGAGGATTTGTGGATTCAAGGAGGTCACGGTTAGCACAGCGCCTGCTACCAAGGCAGCACCTGCCAGACTCCAGTTACAGTTGCCGTGGCAAGCCAGGCACCATGGGGCTAAGTCTGGAAGAGCTGTCACAGAGCAGTGATATAGATTGCTCTATGAGTCTCTGCAGAATGAGGCCCAGAGGCAGGAAGCTCTAAGGAGGCAGAAACCAGCTCAGCATTAAAGACTGTCTCAGTGAAAGCGCTGGTCAGTAGTGGAATGGGCCCATCAGAAGCTGAACTCTGTCAAGGGACAACCTTGTGGGCACCGGACACCTTCTCTGTGTAGACAGTGTTTGGCCCCCAGGGTTCCACGAAAGGCAGTGGATAGAGAGAAAGAAAAGCGATCCAAAGAACAGTCATTGTGGGAAACTCGGGGCAAAGGGAAGTTAAACAAGGCTGCTTGCTGCAGGACTTCTCAGGACCTTCACTGCCCTGGAACACGGGCCACAGACTGAAATGCTTAGAGAACCCAGGCAGATAGCACCAATGGGTAATAGAAACAAGTGTGGATGGAGAGAGCAGGCCCATCAGGACGGGAGGCTCTGTTCTACCTACTCTGTTCCACCAACTATCCTCACAGGAAATTTGTGGGCCACTATCTTGGGTTGAATTGGGTCTCCCAAAAAGATGTGTTGGAAGTCTTAACCCCTGGTGCCTACAAATATGACTGTATTTGGAAACATGGTCTTTGCAGATATAATCAAGTTAAATGAGGTCATTAGAGTGGGCCCTAATGCAATGACTGGTGTCCTTACACTAAGAAGGGGAAAGGTGAATGCAGAGACAGACACGCACAGAGAGAAGACGGCTTTATAACCAAAGAGGCAGAGATTGGAGCGATCCAACTACAAGGGTTTGGATTTCCAGCACTACCAGAAACTAGAAGAAGCTGAAGGAAGCAGAGAGAGATTCTCCCTAGAGCTACCCAGTTTTCAGGGCTGTGTCACGGCAGCCCTGGGAAATGAATACAGTTACTGGCTCATGATTCAGTGTAGCTGGAAGTGTCCCGAATGGCCAGAGCAGCTGCAGCATTCCCTGACCCAGCAGCCACAGGCCTCTTTTCTGAAAGAGCATCTCTCACTGGATATGCCCCAGCACACATTATAGGGCGCTGGCTCAGAGCCTTGGCCTTTCCTTCTGAGCCCACGTGGGCACCATTCCACAGAGGTGACTCCTCATTTCCTCAGTCATAAACTGAGGATAATGGGCCAACCTCCCAGGTGTCTGGGAGACCTCGGTGAGACACACAGAAAGTGCTTAGCCGGGGGTACCACCACATGGAGGAGGCCCTCCCCCTGAGCCTCGCTGTACCCCATTGAGACATGAGGGGGCTACCCCAAAGGCCTCCTTGGGTTGCTAGGAGCTGCCTGGCACGTGACCGGCGGTCAGAAGCATCCACACGGACCGGTCAGCCGCCTACACACCGGGCTTCTGCGGGCCCTCCACTGGAGGGCGCCTGCCCCCCAGGGCTGCCCTTACCTGTGCTGTGAGCTGGATGGGCTGGGAGAGGGTGAGCTGCGGGGTCCCGGGGGGCTGGCTGGCAGGCTGTGGTGGTGGCAGGTCACCCCCCCCCCAGAGGAGGCTGGGGGCTGCGAGGTCGAGGAGGAGGCAGAGGAGGAGGAGGAGGAAGAGGAGGAGGAGGTGGAGGAGGCGGCAGCAGCGGCGGCGGCGGCACTGGATTGCTGCACGGCGGCGGCCAGGAGCTGGGCCTGGGCTTGCTGCAGGAGGAGCTGCTGCTGAGTTGGCATCAGCGCCGTGAGCTGTGGGGCATGGGCGGCAGAGCCAAAGGAGGGGCGGAGGGGGGCGGGAGGAGCAGAGAAGGCAGAGAGGGGTTAGTGCCCGAGCCAAGCAGGTTAGGGGGCAAGTCTTCCAGGAGGCCTGAGGAGGGCAGGAGGCAGGCGTGAGAGCGTGGCTGTGGCCCTGGTAGGACACCCCCTGCCACGGGTCCTGTAACAGATGGGTGGCCCATGTTCCCCATCCTTCCGCAAGTACTTACCCCGGCTAGCTGGCTGCCCGTCAACATGAGTTGGGCCTGGGGCAGATGTGGCTGAGCCGGCTGGGGGGGGCGGGGGTGCTGCTGGGGCTGAGTCGCCACTGGGGTCTTCAGCCTTGATCTGGGGGGGAGAGAGGCAGGGTCCGGGACCCCAGAATGTTAAGTGGAGGCCAGAGAGAATGCCCACCTGTGAACCAAAGAGAGGGCACGTGTGTGGCAACAGCAGCCTCGGGCTGGTAAAGGAGGGGTGCGTTGGGGCATGGAGGCAGGGCCCTGTGCCGACTGGCTGGTGATCTCAGGCCACCCCTCTAGCCTCCGGTTGCTCATCATTCAGTAGGGCTAACACACCCCCCTGTACCAAAAAGGAGGGAGCACCTTTGGAGAGCAGTTTTCCCCTCTGGGGGGGGTGGGGATCGGTTTCTCCATCTGTAAAATGAGGAATGTGCCAGCAGGGGGCTCGGGGCATCAAAGAATAGAGTTCCAGGCACCAAGCCCTCATAGGCTTCAGCCAGAGATGCACCTCCCATTAATGAAGTGAGACTTCATTGGAAGAATGAAAAAAAAAAAAAATCACCCCCTTGGAACATGGATCTGGAATTCGAGTACGTATAGAAAGAGGCAGACAGTGCAAACGGGTGGTGTGGGCAGGTGAGGAGGGGTGGGCTGGTGGTGCATGGGGGCCTCCTGGAGGAGGGGAAGCTTACTCAGCTCCCCCTCTGCTCCCACCAACCACTCATTTCAAAATGTAAAGCAGAACCCAAAAACAACCTAAAAAAAAATCCGCTGGCAGGACTGGCCAAGCACATACGTAGGCCAGATGTGGCTCAGATGCTGCCAGCTTTTAGCCCCCACCCCAGAAGTCCACCGAACCCCGCCTTGTCTCTCGGTGCAGTATGTAGACGCGTCTTGCATCAAACACATAGGACAGACTGGCATAGAGCAGTCATGGTCTTCCTCCTCTCCTAGACAGAAAGGCCAGGCCGTGGTAGGCTTGCCTGAGAGGTCGGCTGGTAAAGGACGTGTGTGGGTGGGGTGGGCGAGGCTTGGAGAATCGTGCTCTCAGGGCCCAGAGGGGATGCTGGGCTGAAGGACGATCCCTAATCCCTCAGCCCAATGTCCCAGCTCCATTTTACAAGAGGGGTTCCAGAGAGGGCAAGCAACTTGTGCAAGGTCACACAGCAGCTTGGCGAGGGTGGGGGGATGGCAATTGGAATGCAGCGTGAGATAAACAGAGGCCTGGCCAAGGCCAAATCCCAGAGCATGAGCAGCGTGCCCCAGGGGATGGATACAAATGTCAGAAAGTCTGAAGGGTCCAGGGATGCCGCATCCCCTGGTGGGAAATTGGGGGCCTCCGGAAGTCTGGCTGTGTTCTGCCTCTTAACCTGGTGCAGGCAACGTAGGTGTTCAGTTTGTGAAAATCCACTGAGGATCTCTGTATTGTCACATTTCAATTAAAAATTAAAAATATAAAAAATAAAAACAACCAACATGGTGAGTCTTTCGGATTTCTTTCATTCTTTCTGGTTCTCTTGAGAAAGCCTCCCTTAGGGGCTGAGATGGGTCTAGCGCCTCACCCCCAGCACTGCTCACCTCCCTTTCTAACAAATGAAGGGAAGGCCTCCGGCTTAGACCCATCAGCAGGCAGGCGTCTCTGGGTACATTTTAATAATCATTGTGTTGAGGCGCCTGGCTGGCTCCGTCGGTACAGCACTGACATTTGATCTCAGGGTCACGAGATCGAGCCCCACGTTGAGCATGGAGATTACTTACACACACAAAAAAAAAATCATTGCATTTATTTCCACGGCAAGAGATTCTGGTTTTCCATTCATGAAATTTCCATTTAAAAAACATTTATTTGAGCTGTTGAAAAAGCAAGCCAGTTCATAAGCTGAGAATTGCTGAAGCTGACTGATGGGTACCTGGGGGCTTACTTTCATGATACTCTTTTTTTTTCCTTTTGTACCTGCTTCACATTTTCCATAATAAAATGTTTTTTAAAATTGAAGCCAATTAACATGATTATAACGTACATAGTTGTACACGGCAGTGTGTGGATGTGTCTGAAATCATGATGGGAGCACATGAATCACTGTAGCTGGAGAAAACAGAGGCCACCAGCGAACAGGACGAGGTATGGACAGAGGCCCAGAGTCAGAGGTCAATGCCCTCTCTGCCTCGGGCTTTCCCGAGGAACCAGGGTGCAGGCGAGGGGAGGGCAGCGAGAACCCTTCTTTCCTAGGGTCCCCTGGTTTCCCCACACAGAAGCAAGGCTGCTGTGGGGCTGGGAGAGGCTGCAAAGATAGAGCTGAGGAGGGAGAGGGTCGGGGCAATGCATATGAGCTCCGCTCCATGGGCTAAGGCCAGAACTGCGCCTGAGATGAAAGGGAAGGAGGCCAGAGCCAGAGCCCTTCTCCCTTGGGCCCCGGCCAACTCACTCAGCACAAGATGCCCACCCGCTAAAATGCATCAGGGTACCTCAGAGGCCATGGGATCTGACAGCCCCCCATGTTAGAGAAGAGGAAACTGAGAAGCCCAGCAGCGGTAGGGGGCGGGGCAGGACAGTGATTTTCCCAAGGTCACAGAGTAGTTCCTGGCTCCCAACCCCATGCCTTGCCAAGGACCCCTCTGTCCATGCCTTCAACCCCGACAGACTGGAGCGTGGAGGCCTGGGCCCCATCTGGATTAGGGATTTGTTCTGTCTGGCCACTTCCAGCCTCCCCGTCAACCTCAACCATCCTTACTGGGTCTGCCCCCCCCAATCCTTATCCCCCTCTATTGGCTGGCCCCTGAGTGTGTGTGTTGGGGGGCTGGAGGGGTAGGGCAGGCCCCTGTCAGGGAAGCTGGGATGGGGGCGGGGCCCTCAGCTTCCTGTTGTTCATCGCCCTGGGGCTCTGGGGGGGATTTCCCTGGCCATCCCCACCCCCCAGGGAAGGGGAAGGAGCCTGGGTGAGTCACAGGCCTGGGGCGGGAGCCCAAGTGTGAGAAGGGGCGGGAGGAGCCTTGTCACCAAGGTATCAGGGCTCCATGTCGCCCCTCTTCAGGCCCTGGGCCCACAGAGGTGTGTGGGACCCTCTCCCAGACACCAACCCATCACAGGACACCCTCCTCTTTCCTCTGCCGTGGCTGTTCGGATAGGTGCTTACCTTGGTGCTGGGGCCGGTTGGGGACACGGAGAACGGGGAGGTTTTATTCTGGGGGTTCTAGGAAGAAAAAATTGGGGTGGGGAATCGGAAGAGTGAGGTGAAGCAGCTCAGCTCTGAAACCCTGTCCCTCCCCCACAGGGGCCCCCTCTGTTCCCTTCTCCCCCTTCCCGCCCCCCCAGCTCATCCACTCCCTCCTGACCTGATGGTTAGTGTCTGGTCCATTTCTTTCAGTGTCTGCAACGAGAGGGAAAGTGAGTTGTCACCTGTACCCCCCACAGCCCCGCAGCTCCCCCACCCCACAGGCCCCCTGCCTTCCCTGCTCCCCTCCCCACCCACCTGTGTGCTCTGACGGGGAGTCCAGACCTTGCTTCTCGGCCTCCAGGGGCTTAGACATTCTTATTTCTGGGGACAGAAGAGGGATATAAGTGGGGTGAGGGAAGCCAGGAGGGCCCTTGGGCACCACCCGGGCCTCTCTCCAAACCCCCTGCACCCCCTGCCACCTTGCAGATGCCTCTTTCCAGGAGACATGCCCTCCTTACTGGGCCTCTGCCCTCCTCTGGCAGGACAAGAACGGGATCCTTTTCACCCCTGCAGAAGGTGGCACGGGAAGGGCGAGCTCCCGTGAGGCCCTGGGACAGGGTGGGAGGCGGCTGGTGGTCGCAGGAAGGCTTTGGTGCCCAGGAGAATGTGGGTGATGTTCCACAGGAGCGAGTCAGCCTTGGGCCTCCTCCAGAGGCACGCCCGTCCTGCCTCACCAGGTTTCGGGTGAGACATGTTTTCCACTCTGAGTGGGGCCTGGGGGTGTGAAGGGCTGTAGCATCCCCAAAGGAGTGAGTCTTCTGATCTCTGCGTGGGATTCGGCGCCCTCTGCCCCTCCCTCAGCCCACAATGTTCCTGTCCACACCTGACCCCCACCTGGCCTCCTGGCCTCCCTCTCACGTTCAGCACACAGGCCCGGCAGCCCCACGGGACCTCAGAACCCCGACTCCAACACCACCCAGCTCTGCCCCAGACCAGGTCCTCAGCCTTACTCCTAGGCTACCCCAGGACTCCAGCCTTGAATCCCGACTGCACCCCAGATCCAACCCGGGTACCCCAGCATACAAATGCAGTGCCACGCGATCGTCCCGTAAACCCAGGACATGAGGGGAGGGGGCAAACAGCCAGCTGGCACCGGGGACACAAAGCAATGCTCTGCCCTTACAACACTCCGATGCTGAGAATGGAAAGGCAAGAGCTTACCAGTGCTGAGCACAGCATTAAGTATGATTCAGAGCTCACAGTAGCAGTTGGTGCTAATATTGCCCCCATTTTACAGAGGAGGAAACTGAGGGCCCGAGAGCATAGTAGAGGTATGACAGTAGAGGTGCTCCAATTGGACACCAGTCTTCATGACTCCAGAGCTCCTGCTTTTAATCAGGACTGCTATGGTCTAGTGGACCCCTGCTGTGATTTCTGCCTGCCTCATCTCCAGCTGTCACCCCTACTGGAGTTCACCCTGACTGATGCCATCTCAAATCCAACCCTTTCTAGTCCTAGACCCCACACAAACCTAGACTTCTGCCCTACCCATTCTCAGTCCCCTTACCCACCCTGAATCCCAACTCCCATCCAGATGGTACAAGCCCTTCATCTGACCTTGACTCCCTGTGTGGCCCCAGACCTCACTCGTGACCCTGACTCTGACCCGAAGGTCTCCCCCACCACTCACTCCACATCCCTGCCTAAACCACGATGCCCTATCAAAGGTGGTGTCCAACCCAAGAGTGTTCCGTGCCCAAGATATTTAAAGAAGGCCCACTAACGAGAGCTAGGATGTTCTCAGCAACTGGGAAAAAAAAAAAAATGTCCAGGAATTTTGCAGTTGAGGGTTACTCGACATGAAACACTGCTCGGGTTTAAAATTACTGATTATAAAGCCAGGTCACATACTGCTCATGGGAGTGTAAATCGATATAAGCACAATTCAGGAAAACTGAAGAGGTGCCCCCTCCCTAGGACCTCACACATCCACTCCTGGGCAACCTCCTGAGACGGAGAAACACCCGGCCCCCTAAGCCCGCAGGCACACAGCAGCCCCTTCCAAATGGCCCCAAACCGGAAACAAGTCAAGGGCCTCTCAGCAGATGGACACAATGTGGTTTGTCCATGCAGTGAAATGCCCCACTACAAGAAAAGGACCAAACTCCTGCATCACACGCACCCCTGAGTCTTGCAGGCCCGACACCGAGGGAAAGACATCAGACACAAAAGTGGACAGACGGTAGGATTCCAATTACAGGAAGCTCACAAACAAGCAAGATGATACCAGATGGCCAAGGTCAGGCTCTGGGTACCGTTTGAGGCTTGCTGATGGGGAATGGGCATGAGGAGGCCTGCAGGGGATTGGAAATGTTCTGTACCATCATCTGTTGGGTGGTTATGTGGTTCCATACATAGGGAAAATGCATCAAGCTGCACCCTTAAAATTCAAGCACTTTACTATAAGTATGTTTTCACTTAAAAAAAAAAAAGAAAAAAATTAAAAGCTAAAAGAAAAGAAAAGAAAGGAAAGGAAAAGAAAAGAAAAGAGCCAGTACACGGCACTACTAAGGCAGAGGCTGGCGAGGGCGGTGTGGGGAGCAGGTGCCCAGGATGCTGCTATGGGAGCTCAGGCCCTGCTTCTAGGTCGTGGGTGGTGGTGAGTGGCTCATGATCTTGAGAGACACAGGAGGAGGCCCCAGGTGCTGGTCCCAGGTGAGAGACCCCACCCTAATCCTGCCTCTACATGATGCAGAACTTGGCCCAGCTCCCAGTGACCGCTGATGCTAGTGTGGTCCTGCATCCCAGACCTCCTAGCATCCCTGAGACTCCTGCTCCAACCTCCTCCCTGGCCCCTCCTCCCAGCCAGTGTCCATCAGGCCCCAGGGAGGATCTCCCCACAACCTGGCTGTGAACCTTTCCATAGCTCCCTGTCTCCCAAGAAAAACCCAGATAGAGCTTTCAAAGAGGTAATCAAGTTAAATGAGACCATTACGGTGGGCCTTAATCCAGTATGACTAGTGTCCTCATAAGAGGAGGAAATTGGGACACAGACACACAGAAAGAAGCCAGCATGAAGACTCAGGGAGAAGTCGGTCCTCCCAAGCCAAGGAGAGAGGCCTCGGAAGGAACCAACCCACTGCCACCTTGATCTTGGACTTCGAGCTTCCAGATTTCAGGGAAGTTAATTTCTGTTGTTTAAGCCACCCAGCATACAGTACTTCAAGATGACAGCCCTGGGAGAATAATACAGCCTCCCACGGCAGTGCCCTCCCACTGTCCTAGCCCTGAGCCCACAGGCCCGTGGCCTTCTGTGTCCCCATCCTTTCCCACCAGACCTGGGGCAGGCCTGCTCTGACTCACTGCTGGCTCCCCGGCACCCCCAGCTCAGAAGAGTGGGTACTAAGTGTTGGCTCTCTCTCTACTTGTTTCTGCCTCTGTCCTGCTGTCTCTCTACCATTTAACACATGTTTCCTGAGGCCTCGGTATGGGCTGCTCCCCCCATCTGGAAGACTGCCCCCCACTCTGTCCACCTGGCGAGCTCCTACTCATCCTTCAGGCCCCAGCACAGGCTTTGTCCCTTATGACGGTGGCTCCCTCCACCCACTCCCCTGGTGATTGTCCTAGAGGCTGCAGCCATCTGGGCCCCAGTACAACTCCCCCGTCAGACTAGGACCCCCTTGAGGGCAGGTCTGACTCATCTTGGGGTCCACAACACTGCCCAGCCCAGGACATCTGGGTCGAGTGCACAGGGTGCCCCGAGGCCCTGATCTCTCTCTTCCCCCCAGCTCTTGACCTTTTCTTCTCTACTAGCAAACTCTGGCTCCTCTTTAAGGTCCCAGCTCACACATCACCTCCTCTGTGAGGTCCTCCCTGACTCCTCAAGTGGTTAGTGTCTTTCTTATCTGGAAACCCCCTGCCTCCCCCTCCCTAACACACTCTGACCCCCTGGGCAATGGCCTCCCCCTGCCCCAGACTGAGCTCCTTAGAGCCCAGCAGCCCTGGCTGGGACTGTGTCTTTGGAATGAATGAATGCGTGCAAGAATCTCTGACAGACCAGGACCCAATCTTGTCCCAGGTAAGCCTCTCTCCCTGCCGCCACCTGCCACCTTGACCTTGAGCCCCAATCCCCAAGCAACTCCAACCTAAATCTTTGAAGTAACCTCTTCAGGGATAGTGGCCATGGGGGCAAAGGTGGCATGAGAGGACATCTCCACCACTCTGTTTCCCTTGTTCTCCTTAATTCTTCCCCCACCCCAATTCGCACATAGCCCAGGCACCCTGCAGCATTTGGCTGGGCTGCCTGCAAAATGGCCAGTGTTGCCCTTTGCCCAAGCCCATCTTTCTTTTCTTTCCTCCTTCCCACAATCCACGAAAAGGGAGTCATCGAATCATCCCTACCAAGGATGAAGAGGGGACTCCATTTCCACCACAGGCCCAAAGCCAAATGATGCCTTAACACTGGAGGGCACTGGCAATCCCCTTAAGAGGCCTGCTGACGCATCTGTCCTGCAGGCTGTCGGCCCAGGCCCTGGTCTCTTGACTCTAGATAAACGCTGACACCTATTCCCACCCAGACTCTCTGCTTTCACAGGGACAAGGGGAGACCTGGACATCTGGACTTTGAAAAATCCCCCTGCCCCACCCCACCCCCACCAGGCCATCGAATATGCTCTGGCTCCCTGGTGCCTTCCGAAGCTCATCTCAAGGCCTCATTCACACAGAAAGGCTGCTTGGTCATGTGACTAGTCATCCCTCCCTTCTCCCATCCCAGGCAGTGTATAACTCTTTAGAGGGCCAGGCAGGAAAAAGCAATGCAGAATTCTGCTGGGCCCCTTCAATCCTACCATCCTGGAGTCAGACACACCCAGGGCTACCCACACCCTTGGGGTCACACTCGCTTGCCCCACTGCCTCAGGCCTGGGACTCTGGGTCCCCTCCGCCCTCCCCACCCCTCCCTCGCCCCTCCCTCCCCGGACTTTCACTTCTCCTCTGCATTTCCCCCAGCCGGTTTTAGCAGACTTCGGCCAGCTTCTCGTTAGCACTTACCGAAAATGGGGCTAAATATAGAGGGCCCAAGGGCTGCCCCTCACCCCTCCTGGCCCCTCTTGGCCTGTCCCCTGGGTCTCCTGCCTTCAGAGCGGGCTTCAATCAAGGCTGCGGCTTGGGAGCCCCTGTGGGCAGGGTTCACGCTGACGGGAACCTCTGCGGGCCCAGCTGGCCTGGTCCTTGCCTCCCAAGGAGCAGCACCTCACACCCCCACCACCCCACATCTGTCCCTGGGTGGCCTCAAGGGAGTGAATACTTCTGAGCTGTCAGGAGGGAGGGATGGCGAGAGAGGCAGCAGACACAACAAGAGAGGGTGGCCCCCGCAGCTGTGCCGACAACAGGCTAGAGCTGCTACGTCGCACACACACCACAGACTCAGCCAGGCAGGGCCCAGAAGAGGACAGACAATGCAAACACACACAGAGACAGGTGTTCACAGAGCCCAGGCAGAAGACACACACCCAGACAAAATGACATGGGTACATATGCAAAACACACACCTAGACATGCGCAAGTACACCTGCACTTACACACACACTCACACACCCAGGTCACTCAAACAGACAGACAACACACACATATGCCCACATACACCGAATTGCACCCTGGAGTCACAAAGAGACATACAAATAGACATGCATGTGTACACACACACACACACACACACAGGTCACTCAGACACACACACATACTCACACCTGAGTCACTCACAGACAGATAGACAGACGTGCATACACACATGCACTCTGGTTGCTCAGATAGACGCACACATATGCCCAGAGCCACACAGACAGGTATACACGGAGACGTGCACATGCACGCGTGCATACACACAGTTACTTGGAAACACACAAATGTGCACACATACTCAGAGTCACTCACAGACAGACACACGGACTGACACAGACAGACAGACACACACATACCCAGGCCCCCCAGATGAACACACACACACACACACGAGTGCACACTCACACATCCAGAATCAGCTCATCCTGGCAGACGGCCAGGGTGGACCCCTGAACCTAGTTCGCAGGTGCGGAGCTCAAGCCCAGGTGGGACAAGTGATCTGCCCAAGACCATGCAATGTATTCATTCTCGTCCAGGCAGGGAAGCCAGATGGGTTTCCCGGGCAGGGCAGCTCTGTGAGAAATCCCCAGCCAGGGATCTAACTCAGGACTTCCAGCACATACGAGGCCCCCATTCAAACCCAGATGGGCATGAGTCCGGGGTGGAGCAGAGGGCATGCATGTGCAATGCCCCGGATCTCTGGGTCTACACTGTATGTGCGCACACACATACATAGTTGCACAGACAGTCACCTCAATAAATAACTATGTGCCATCCTGTAAGTACTCTTCCCTCCATCTCAACCCCCTCTTTCACCTCCTTTGCCTTGCTTATACCCACTCATCCTTCACATCTCAGCCCACACATCCCCTCCTCCAGGAAGCCCTCTCTGACACCCCACTGGCTCAACCAGGCCAGCCTTCTGGGCTCCCACGGCTCCCTGTGTCTCCAGCATCCCAGCCCTGACTCCTCTGCCCATGCCTCCTCTGCTGTCTAGCCAACAGGTCTGTGTGTCCCAACTGGGAACTCCGGGAGGACGGGCCCCAAGCTCCCTTTTTCAGTTATATTTCCATCACCCAGCATGGAACTGCTCAAAAAATATATGTGGTTGAAGGATCCCAGGGATGCCCACACACACAGATGCAGAGAGGATGGCACATGCCAAACCAGGACTCATCCCGCAGATGCTCAGGAATGGGACACATACCAACACTCACGCCTATATAGCCACAAACGAAACAATCACGCAGTGCTGACGCTTGCTATGTTCCAGGCACTGTGTTAAGCATCTACACACATTACCTCATTTAACTGTCCCATCAGCACTGCTGGGAGATGACTATCATTATGCAGAGAGAGACACATTTTATCAAATGAGCCAACAAATACAAATCATGTTGTACGGTGCCTGACACCCAACATCCACCTGGTCCGCTGACATATAATAAATTTCCAGGCGGTGATAAATGCCATAAAGGAAAGACAAAGCAGGGGCAAGGGGACTGAGAATGGTGGGATTGGTTGCCAGTTCAGACAAGGAGGTCAGGGAAGGCCTCCCTGAGGAGGTGACATTGGAGACAAATGAAGTGAGGCAGTGAGCCAAGAGATCATTGCCAAGGCGAGCCCACAATGCCACACACAAGAGCCCCGCACGCACAGACACATGACAGGCATAGTCGGAGGACTCAGAACTACCAGTCACCTAAACACACACAGAAACTCACATGCACTGAAAAGTCCTGCAACTTAGTGTTCCCACAGCTTAGCAGCCCCCCCCCACCAAGAAGCCCACTCACTGATCCTCCATATAAGAGCCTGCTACCAACACGGGGCTCCATCGTCCCCCCCCCCCACACACACAGCCCAAAGAACATGGCAGCACAGATGAGGAGGGAGATCAGAAGCCCCCAGGTGCTTGGAGTGGAAGGGAAGGGGAAAGAGGAGCTGAGGGTAGGGACCCAGGGTGGAAGGGGGAGCTGGTGAGGTACAGAGCGAAAGAAAATAAGAGGAGACAGCTAAGGGGGAAGGGCAGGGCAGGCAGCGGGCGCTGGCCCCAGGCCCCTTACCTGGAGCCCCCATGCTGGAATGAACCATGCTGCCCGCCCCGCAGGGCTGGGGGAACAACTGTGTCATCTCCCCGCCCTCTCTGGGGGCCAAGCCCTCTCAGCCGGAAGTCACCCAGGGAGGAAACCACAGGGTCCGCCCCCTTCAGAAGGGAAAATACTCTGGCCCAAAGGCCCACCTCAGGAGGCTGCAGACCCCAAATCATGTGTGTGTTGGGGAAGTGGGGGCGCAGGATCCCCAGGCTGGAGGGGCTGAGTCCTCCAGCTGAGTGTCTGGGACATGCCTGCCCCAGCTACCCCAGCCCTCCCTCCAGCTGCCTCCACCAAGGCCAACACATCTGGAACAGGGCATGTGGGCCTGGGAAAGAGGGTGGGCCCCGAACAACAACAACAACAACAACACTAAACACGAAACACTGGCTGGAAGTTTTGGGGGGGGCTTTCCCAATGCCAGGCTTGACAGGCGCACTTGACAGGCACCATCTCTTATACTGATCACTATTTGTGCCATTTTACAGACCAAAAGACTGGGGGCCAAGAGAACTGAGGTGCCTTCCAGAGGGCCCAGAGCCAAGAAGCGATGAAGCCAAGAAGCACAGCGGGGGGAGACGTTTGCTCTGGGTGTCCTGCAAGGCTGTGAGAGGGGAGGTACCTAGCCACGCACCTGTCTGCAGGTGAGGCATCCATCCACTGAGAGGAATCGGTGCCCGTGGGCAGTGGCAGTGAGGGCGACGGGGCAGGGCCTTGGCCCAGAATGGCAAGACGTCTGTCAGGGGGCAAATGCGGGCAGCGGAGCCGGTTCAGGTGAGGGGAGCCCCGCGTCCCTTAACTGCCCGCCGGCCATTCTCAGAACTGCGCTCCCGGACCAGCATTTCCCACCGGGCCCGCCAGAGGGCGGCAGCGCTCAGTCAATAGGCCGGAGGGCGGGGCCGGCTGCGGAGGAGGAAGCCCCACCCTCTGCTCCCCTCCCCGCCCCCCCCCGCCCCCGCGCGCACACCTGCGAGGGTCACACAAAGGCTCAGGACTCCCAGCGCACCGCGGTGTAGACAAAGGCGCGGCGGAGTCCGCTGCCCTCTTCATCCTGCCAGCGCTCGGTCCGAGGCTGCAAGGCCACCTGGCGCGTCCACACAGCCCGCCCACCCTAGGTCCCGCAGGACTCGCCGCGCCCACGCTGAGGGACCCCCAAACCACACGTGCGCACACAGACGCCTGGACTCACCCAGACAGACACATACACTCAAGCATTTACACACATGGGCCCCAGCACTTCACACACACGTGTGCACACGCAGACACAAGAGAACCCTCGTCTATGAGCCCAGGGTCCAATATCAGCCCTCTCTACCCACCATCCGAGACTCCTGTGTACAGAAACCCCTCTGCTCCCTCACGTGGGCACAAGCGCACATATACACGTGTGTGCCCAGGCACACCTCCTGGCCATGTGTGCCCACGCTCACACCCGTGCACAGCCAGGCAGGACAGAACACACAGGCAGACCCTTCATGAGTGCCCTTCCTTCTGGACCCAGTGCACCCAGACACACCCAGGCAGGCAGGCCAGCCCACCCACTCACTGGGGATGGCCAAGGGCTTTTACATCTGCACACAGAGGGGACAGTTCCCAGCCACCTATACTCCACAGCATCCCATATCCCAATAGCTGTTTCACCCAGGAGATCCAGAGACCACAGAGCATCAAGCCACCCACCACAGCTTCAACTCAGACCTCCCCCATCCTGGCCCAACCCGGTCTCTCTTTCAGATGCAGGGTTTCTGTACATGAGGGCCTTCATAATGGCAGTCTGGCTGGTGGCCGTGAGTACTGGAGTCTTGTCTTGATGCTGTAGGCTCTGTTCTGATTTAGGATTTACATCTTGAGGGGCATGGAAATGAGGGTAATGAGGACATCACGGGGGGCCAGAACCCTACCAAGCCACCGTCATGATCCACTGTGGACATAGTCAATATCATTCATGTCAGGTTCCTGCTTTTGGACATGACTGGCTGTCAACCCCTTAGGATGAGACTGAAGGGAAGCACCACCCATTTCTGGTGCTGCCCTCCCAGGTCTGTAGCTGAGTGGGGGGAAGCCAGGGAAGGCCTCAAGTGCTCCCCCAAGGGATAAAATCACCCCATACCTCTTGCCTCCCAGGCTGATGGAGTCCCTGAGCTGGAGTCAGGGAGCAGAAGAAGAATGGGTCTGAGATGTCTGCCTGCTGGGAAAGAACAGAGGGCCAGACTTTGGGGCCGCTGGGTGGATAAGGCCTGGCAGCAAGGAATGGGAGGCCCAGGCAGGGCGGATAGTGCCCTCTCAGCCAGAGAAGAGGCCTCAAGCCATGTTGAGCAAGGCAGGTAGGACATGGGAGCTGGGGAGCAGTGGGGGGCCTCTCAGGTGTGGGGAGCCTGGGAGGGAGGCAGTACAGGGGAGGCCAGGCTGGGCTCAGGGCTGAGCGGTAATTAAAGGAGACGTAGGGGGCTCCCCAGGGCCAGCGGGGCTGGTAACTGACACGTGGGCCCCATTGCTCTGCTCATATTTCTCACCGGATCGATACGTTTGACTCCCGACAAGACAATAATCGCTTGTACGCGGCCGGCGAGTCGATCAAATACATTATTAGAGCGAGGTCCCCCGGGGGCCCGGCGGGGAGTGGTGGGGGGGGAGCAGCCAGCCCACCGGGGACAGCAGAGCGGGATTCTTCACCCCTCAGGGCCCCCAGCCATGGCCTCTTCCTCTCTGTTGCCCCTGGGGACCCTCTCTGTGGCTTGGTTCCCTGACTTCTTTTGGGATTCCCACTGTCTCTGGCAACCTCTCCACTCAGCCCCCGCAACATGTCCCTGCTCTGCTTGGGGACCCAGGGTGTCTTTCTCTGCAAGTGCTTCCTCATCTGTAGGGCTGTGCCTGTGCAAGCTCAGAGAGGCCCTTCAGACCCCCAGCTTAGCCGGAGACAGGGATACAGGCCACACTGAGTCAACAGCCGGCCCAGTAGGAGAATTGGTGATTTACCGATACCAACCTTCCTCTTCATCTCAACTCGTGGGCCTTTAGAAGAGAACAGACTGAGAAGGCTCTGGAGGGGAGAGGGGGTCAGGGAAAACTGGCTAAGGGACCCAAACACATAGGAAAACAGGATGAGGAGTGGCAGACAGACACAGAGACAGAGAGGGGTCTGGCTAGTCCTACTGCAAGGCGGTCCTCCTGTGGGCCTTAGATACTCTCAAACCAAACCTAGCCTTGGCCTGCCCTGGGGACTGCTTGCCTACCTCCTCCCTCACCTGCCCAGTTTCTGGGCTTGAGCCTTCATTTCCTGTTTACACACCTGCTTCACCCTCCGCCCTGCCCTCAAAATGCCCTCAAAATGCTTCTCCAGTGGCCCTAAGTCAAGGTCAAACTACAACCACCCCATGATCTGCTTCGGAGCACCCAGCATCCAGGGACTTAAAAATATATTTCTTCTTCACCATCATCATCATCACCACCACCAACACCACCAAAAGCAGCAGGAGCAGCACTGTCTGCTCTGTGCTAGTTGAGCCAATACAGTATGTCTAGTACTCACGACAATCTGAGAAAGCAAGGTCTATGATCATCCCCCATTTTACTGATGAATTGGAGCTCAGAGAGGTGAAGTCACTTGCCCCACATCACACAGCATGTGAATGGTAGAGCCAGGATTCAAACCCAGATCTGTCCTCCGCATAGCTTGCTCTCTCTCTCCTGCACCATGGGCCTCCTTCAAGCTTTGGAATGTTCCCCATCCTCCAGTGGACAGCAGGAAGCCCACCCAGGAACACCAAATCCCTTCACAGCCCACAACCCCACTCCCACAGCCCTTAGTCCTGATTTTCAACAATGCAGTCGACTCCCTTTGACTCATCAGCTCCTGGCTAAAGGTAGGCGAACCCTTCCATGTCCTTCAATTCAAGTGTTTCCTGCGTGTCCCTTGGTACCAAACCCTGGGCTGGGGGCTGAGGACCTAGAGATGGGCTGGGCTGAAACGTGCCTGAGAATCTGATGGAAGACAGAGGCTGGTGTGGTACGGAAGGCTTGTGAAGAGGTGGCATTTACAAAGCAGCCTGGCCTTTGTGAGGCAGAGAATGTGGGGGAGCCCACCGCCAACAACGGAAACAGAAGAGGTGGGAAGGGAGGCACGTGTGGCTTGGTACAGGGCAGTCAAGGCAGATAGAGGAGACAAGGTGGAGAAGCTGAGCCAGGCCCCAGGGTCTTGCAGGACTGGCAAGCATTTTGGATTTTACTGCAAGCACAGTGGGATGCCACCCAGAGGGTCTTCAGCAGAGAAGTGACATGTTTCTGTGGGAGGTCAGACTGAAGGGCAAGAGTGTGAGGGAGGTCAGCCAAGAGGAAATGGGTGGTGTCCACGTGAGATGGAGGGGATGATGGCTGGGACCAGCGTGCTGGCAGTGGTGGTGGCGCAAACAGGTGTCCCTAGAAGCAATTTCCAGAGTAGACCCAATAGGATTGCATGATTTGCTGGAGGTGGGGGGAGGAGTTGGGGGACGAGTCAAGAATGAAGCCCAGGAAGGCAGAAGTACCTTTTCCGCCTTTGAAAGGTTGAAGATAAGGGAGACCTCAGGCTGGGATGAGAAATATCTGGGCAGGGCACCATACATGCCTTGAGGCTGGATTTGACGTTGCAGGTAGAAGACTTTTGAGCTTGGACAGTGCGTGCAAGAGAGATCCATGGTGTGAGGACAGGCTGGTGGGCAGAATCTGGAGGCAGGATGAGCACAGAGAAGACTGGGACAATGGCTGAGATGACAGGGAGGTTGGGGCCATGAGAGTCTGCCTTCACGCCAGATTCTACAGGACTCTGGTGGGCCTGCAGGTGGACGACTGGGGCACATGGCTGGGTAAATACTGAGACCATTACCGATGGACAGTGGGAAGGAAAGCAGACGCCCAGGTCAGTGCTGTGGGCAAGATCAGGAAGAGGTGTGTCAGAAGCAGCGAGATCTATGGACCAGGAAGCCAGCAGATGCTTAATAAATTCACATGGACACAGCATTCCTCGCTGTACCACCCTCAAGCCCGTGACACCATTTCCCCAAAACCTGCCAGAATTC